CAACTTTCCCATATTGAAAACTTTGATGAAAACAATTTTGTTTTAAAATTAAAGTAATAAGGATCACAAAATGACACTTCTGAAATTCTTAAGTTTTATGAGTAATATGATCCCTTCTTTTAAAGAAATTGTCTAAATGGGTAATAATCAAGACCAAGAATGCAAACATTTATATTACTTAACATAATAATAATCCTTCAATTATTTAATGTGCCACCTGGTACCACCTCTAATTTCCAGATCATGTGTATGAGGTGCAATGGTAAACTGAGGCTTGACACTGTTTAGTACATTTTTACAAAATAATTTTTGATTATTGGTGAACACTTAGAAATTTCCTAAGTTTAGTAAGATTTGAGTACTACCATCTAAATGAAAAATAACAACTGGATGTTATTTTCCAAACGACTTTAGGACAAAAGAGGAATTCCAGATTCTTTTTCTACTAAGGCAGTTAATGGCAGTAACTAGAGTTTACATTATGGAAAGGGGAGGTGGGTGGATAAAAGGGTGATTCAGGGACCTGTGAAATATGCTCAGAAAGAACGTATGAAATGGAGGAACAGATCCACCTGATTACTCAATCTAAAACTTAAAAAAAATTCTGACATTATTTTTTCATTTTTTTTTAACTGTGCTTTCTATGTTTCCTATTCTAGTAGGAAATGAAGTAGCCTGAAAACTATTTTTAAAGCGTTCATTTTTCTGATAGATTAACTAATGACTTATATAGTAAGCATAGTCAAGTTACAGTCTAATGATATACTTGATATTTCAAGGAGCAAAAAAAAATGGTTATACAAATACACCTTGGTTCTAAGACAGATACACTCAGTTCTTCAGCTCATAAAACCAACTGAATATTGTCTAAAATAGTCTAGAAGCCACAGATGATTCTGCCAGTCCTGAATGACAAAGCTCTTGATTATTTATTCTCACGTAGATAATGTTCATATGAGCTGGAACTTTCGATAACCTCTGTTTATAATCATATTTTCACTTTTATTATCATTAATTGATGAACATTTAGCTCCATTAAAATTAATAGCCACATAAAAAGAGCTCAGATAATACAATGGAAAATTCTTGATAATCATTCAGACATAGTTGGATATTGGCTCCAACTATTATTTCCCAGAAAGTTTACACCTTACACTTCATCCTCTAAGTATAGAACTACAGCCTAAACAATAAAGTTAGGCAATGGCTTTTATTGAATATTTTGAATTATTAAATAACTGTTGAGTCACAAAGTTGGCACCAAAATGGCAGTGCTTATAAGAATCTATTTCTTCAGGGTACAATACGTAATAAATATATTTTGATGAGAAATTAAAAACATTTTCCTATGAAATTCTATTATAAAGCATATGATTTGTCAAGTGTCCATATATGTTCTCATTTTGATTACATCGACGTTTCCACATCTTAAAAGTATGACTGCTCTATTCAACCAGGATCATTAATTAGCTTAATTTCCTGAAAATTAAAATGTTCAACTTCAGTGAAGCTAAGTCTTTAAAGTAACTTCCACTTAGCTTCCAAGTTCTAAGAAAGTGTGTGTATTCAATGCTTCTAATCCACTTACTTACCTATGGAACATGTGAACTAAATCCACTGCATAGATTTTACTCTGCCATTATAATTCAATTTCTTAAATATTTTCAAAAATAGGTGCTTTTAAGTATTTTATTTACATAATAAAAAAATTGTCACTAATGTTTAATGTTGCCTCATTTTTTTTCCCTGAAAACAAAAATAAACTTCAAAATAAAATAAAAATTGGAAAGTCATTCCCAGAAACAAGTTTTAAAACAATGCTAACTTCTCAAGTCTATTACAGAACTATTAGCTACACGAAATTAGAATTCTCATCAACATTCTTTTTATACCTATATTCAATCATACAGACACTATATAGCATTAAAATGACTCTCTGATACCTCAAGAAACACAGCCATATATAAGAAATGTTTAAAGTGTATTTCATTTTAATAGTTTTCCCTTCCTATTAAAACCGAATCTTCTTTTTTATTCAGTTGTGCTTCTAATTTGATGTCATGATAGTGATTTGTACTACCCATTTGTGCTTAATAAGGATATCCTGCTACAAAATGACAAGACAACAAAAACAAACCTCTTTGATAAAGAATAAGCACCTACACTGTGAAGGCATTCTGCATCATCCTTATCCTTATAAACTGTCACAAATTTACAAACAAGAATAAAAGGAAATACAAGAAGTAGAACATGGATTTTCACTAATTCATTTTTTTAAATGTACCAGTAGGTCTTTTAAAAAAATATGAGACTAAATAAAAATCATAAATCATTGTATTTTTCTTTACCACAATTTATTGTTTAACCTAGCCAAAAATTCTTCATATATAAAATATTCCATTAGTTGGCCATATAACATGAGAAATTCTGTACAACACAATATGTCTAATAAAATTAAGTCGACTTTAACCACAATGTCATTTAAAGAAGCCAATTAAATTATCCAGAAACACAAAGCTTAAAGAGTAGCCTTGGGAATAACTTTATTTCTTACAGCCATTACCAAATCCTCACTGAACTGATTACCTATGCAAGAATAGTAGCATGAAGCTGAAGAAAAGGCACTAACATCACTCCCTAGCTTATCTAAGAACTCATAAAAGTAAAAGGATCTAACCATTTTATTTTATTAGATTCTCTAATACTTAAAATGTTGCCACTTTTCTGCAGTTTGACTAACATTCTTAATCATTTGCCTCCTTTCCTTTTTTCTACTACCTAAAAAAACTTAATTCTAGCCCTAAAAGTCTATTAAAAACGTGAATTCAGAAATGTGTCCCTTTGGTTACAGAACTTCATTATACCCCCCAAAAAGAATGCACAAAAAAATTCTAAAAGGAAATTAGGACCCCAAATTTTATAATACAGCCAGCCTTGGTGACCATCCATCTTACCAGATACTGCTCTATCTTCTATGTGTATTTAATGGGTGTGGGCCCATTGCCTGATGGGATCTGTAGATTCTAAAAAAAAAAATGTGTGGATGACAGTCTTTTGCTTCTTTTTTTGAAACTATGAACCTAGAGTTTGAAATATGTTGCAAATTTAATTCCACTGCATATTGTAGAGTTGATCAGTTTCAGCTCTGATATTCTAAAACACTGAATAACCTATTAAAGTGCATACATATGAATATGTGCATATATATTATAAAATACTTTGATAATTACATCTACAATCTATGTTTTACGATGTAAAATAAGAATTATGGTTCTTAGAGGAAAAATGCACACCATAAGTATCTATTCATATGAAAATAATAGTTCAAGTATACCTGGAAACTTTTCATTTAAATGCATTGAACCATTTTCTAGAAATTTCAATATACATTGTATATATTTGTGTCTTTATTAGTGCATAGATTTTGTTTTTCATTGTCATATTTTTATATATTAATATAAATATTGTTACTATTTCATATATTCAGGAATTCTAAAATTTCTTTGTATCTTTACCACTTTCAGGCATCAATGCTCAACATTTGCCAGCAATGCCTTAACACTTCAACCTGTGTATTATACCCATTTCACAGATCAAAAGAGTTTTGCCAAACCATTGAGATAATGCTTTCCTAAACTCAGGAAAGAAACCAAATGATTTCCCCGGAATTATCATGTAATCTTAATGGGTCCACAATCGCCTCACCCATACCCAACCTCCATCCCATTTCTCATTATGGCACCTACCCTAGTGTTGTCATGGTGACGATGGTATACCAGAATGCTGCAGGGATGCTGGTGAACTTGCTGGCCGAAGACCCCTTCTCTGCGTAGAACATAACTGTAGCGAAGATGATGATAGCCATGGTGAGCGAGAAAAGCAAGAAGCCCAATTCTGAGGCACAACTCTTCAGTGTGTACCCCAGGATGCGCAGGCCTTGAGAGTGGCGGGAAAATTTAAAGATCCTGAACACCCGGAAGACTCGGAGCGTGACAAAGGCTCCGCTCACGTCCTCATTGTCTGTCATCACCAGCCCAATGTAATAAGGCAGGATGGCCACCACGTCGATGATACTCATGACACTACGCACAAAACGGTAACGACTAGGCGCTGCAGCCAGGCGAAGCAAATACTCAACTGTGAAGATCATGACGCAGGCCGTGTCCAAGCAGAAGAAGGCCACCGCATACCGCTCTCCACAGGGCAGTTCTTTAATGTGACCTGGGCTTGATCCGCAGGGCACTGTTTCCACCACATTCGCGATGACAGAGACGGCAATGAAAAACCCCGTGACATAGTAGAACACCAGGGCCATCGTGCTGGTGTGGGGGTTCTCGAAGGCCCGCCAGACCCTCTGCCTTGCAGTCATGGTGGGCAAGGCGCTCTCTCCAGTGGTGTCGGTATCCGCGTCGTCCTGTAGGCGCTCGGCGTTCTCCCGCCTGCGATCCTTGTACTCCTCGTAACAGCAGTCGCCGATGATTTCCGGGATGAGGCCAAAGAAGGCCAGTTCTTCATCGTAAGCAGAGATGCACTCGTGGCGAGGATAGTGGAGCTTCCCAGTGCGGTAGAAATTCAGGATGTGGCGGAAGATGTCTGGGTCACGGTCAAAGAAATACTGCTGAGTCTCTGGGTGGTAGAAAAAGTCCCTCTCAGAACTGCCCAGTAGAGTGTCTGGGTAACGTTCCAGGGTGTCCTGCCACGTCTGGAAGCGGGTTCCACTCACATTCAGCACAATGAGAGCATCTTGGGTCCTTTTCCTCTCCTGCCTCGGGGGAGCCGGCATAGGCCCCGAGGCCACAGGCATCCACCCGATGGCCGCTGCCCTTGCAAAAGGCAGCCACGCTGCTACCCCCGCCGCCATGGCTCCTTGAAGTGGAAGGAAGAAGGGTGACGAGGCGTCTACAATGGGTCAACCGAAGCAGCCACAACTCACCCACTTCCTCCAGTCAAACAAAGTACTAGTGAGAAACGTGGTCCAGAGGTGTCACTCTTATTCCGAGATAGGGCTTCTGGTAAAGTCACAGTTCTCAGAAGGGCAAGTTTCCCTCCAAGACAGGTGTTTGGAGTAATGACAACAAAATACAACGTCTTAACAATCGCCCCCAACAGAACCTAGCCAAACCGCTTCCAGCAGGTGGGCCAGGCCACCCTCTGGCACAAATAAGCACACAGGTGCAGTCGTTTCTTCAAACAGGTGTCTTTGATTTCTCCCCTGGCACAGTCTGGATAATATGGGGTCAGTATGTGGAGTGTAGGATAGAGAAGACGAACGAGAGTCACCCAATAGAATTATTTCGACGAATTAGGGAATCCTTCCACCTACCCTTCTCACTCTTTCAAACCTTCCTTTCCAAGTAGCCCTTCCCGCCAAAGGAGTCTCAACAAGGCGACCTGTTGTTGTAGCTCAGGAGATACGGTCACAGCCGCTGCCCCACGTCTCTCTTTGGGGGTCCAGCTGCTGCTGCCTCTACTCCTCGGGCTGTATTTGCAGAGATGGAGGTGATGTGCAGTGGGTACGGTGGGGGGCGTTAATACAGATCCTCCTCCCCCACGTCTACAAACACCCTCTGTGTCTGCCAAAAGCGTTCGCCCAGTCGCCCCTTCACTCTCTTTTCAAGTTCAGCTCAGGTGCGGTGTGACAGTTACAGAGCCCAGGAGCTGGCAGCCGCCGCCGCCGTGGCGGCAGCAGCATCTGCTTCCGCGCAGAACGCGCCGCGCCCGCAGTACATACCTGGCCAAGCGCGCGCCGGGGCTGAGTTGCATAGAGACTTTCTCCTCGCCGTGCACCCGGAAAGGGAAGAGGAGAGAAAGCAGCTCGCGAGCAGCCGAATCCGATGCGCCGAGGGAGCATAAATAAAGCTCAAGCGAGCTCTTCTCCCCCTTCCCCCATCCCTCCGTTCCTCCCTCCTCCTTTTCACCTTCCAAAAGCCAGGCGCAGGCGAGCAGAGCAGCAGCAACAAGTTCAAAAGGTGCGGGGGAGGCGAGAACGGAGGGGACTCGCTCCTGCCAACTTACTGCGGGGCCACTGTCGCGGGGACCTGGCCAGCGCGGTGCGGGGCGGCGGGGCGGCGGGGCTGCGGGGCGGCCGGGCGGGCGGCGATCCCCGCCGTGGGCCTCAGCTGCTG